TAAACATCATAACTGCTTAACAAATTCATCCTCAAAATAATATTAATTGTATTAATGGGTAACACTATCAACTCAAACTCCAATCTCATATTAAAAATCTTAATCTCAAATACACATGTCTAGCTTACAATTATACAATACAATCTAAAATATGTATAAGTACACATAAACCATATCGATATATCTAATAATATTAAATACATCCAAGCAATGAATAAATGACTAATCTTATAATCTAATAAGGATATGCATAATTATGACAAAACGGAAGCCATATCTATCCCAATGTTAGTTACATCCCCGAACTCTTAATCAAGTCAAGTTAAACACCAAGGCTTACACTAAAGAAGCAACAACTAGAGTAATGGAATCTCTCCATCCCTTTTAAGCTACCTCTCAATAGACCTTCCTCCACCTCTACTCTAAAACAGCTCCTTAAAAAAAGGTCATGTTTTCTTCTCTCCATGTTTATCTGAAGCCTCCTCATTGGTCTCTTATAGAATAAAGTATATTACTTTATATTTCATCTAACAACATCTAAAATAATATTCTACATGCATATACACTTAGATGCCTCTTCTTGCATATAGAGGCTTGCCACTGATAAAACTATATAAACCATTGCTAAAAACATTTTAGAGTCCCTTTTTGAAGTTTCCTAGTCCAAATCATCACTTCTTCCAATTACTATTACTCTTACATGCCTCTCCATAGAACAACGTTCTATTGGCACCCCAGCATTATTGAGTCCTTATTAAAACTATTCGATAATTATGCTAGCTCATTCTAAAATCTCTATGAAATCTCTAGATTAAAATGAGACATGTGGAATCCTTAGACCTTTTTTAAGAAAATGTATAACCCTTCTATTTTGGAATGTTAACTAGTTATGAGGCATAACTTATTGATGCAACACACCCAACCTCATACTATAACATTATCTAGCTTATTTCTACTAACCTCACAAATAACTTTTGCATATGTTTTTGAGCCAAATAAGTACAAAATATTCTCTAAAACTATTAGTAAACTATACCCAATCTTACTATTAACATGCCCTAAAAGTTTTTCTTATATTGGTATAACCATTTATTATTAGCTATTCCTTCAAATTTAAAAAAATAATAATAAAGGTACCTTACGAATATTCAAGTATCGCATGCATTCAAATGTCTACTTAATAAAAATTCGACCCTAAATATTTGAGGTTCTATCACATCCATGGCATGAGGCAAATTAAACCTTAAATTTATTTGAAATGCTTGCCTCCCCCTCTCAAATAGTAAACATTTTACTCTGAGCATCACTCATTAACTAACCAAGAGTAACCAAGTTAACAAACTATATTATAGAATAAAATTCATGGCTCCCTTATATACTATCTTGAAAATTCAAAAAATTTGAATCATCTCACACTCACCAAGCAATCCCTTATAATAACTCATAAAATTGCACGTGTATATATATATGAGTACAATAACTATAAGATACTTTATCTCTACCACTTAATTTAATGACTAATCAAATAACTCCATCATAAATCAATTCCTCTAATACAGTTTCTTTATAATAATAATAATATCATTATAACACAATAGAATAACCTTTATGCTAGAGTGGGTTATATAAATGCATGATAATAAACATTAACAATGATTTATTTAAAATTTTTTATCCATTTTTTATAGCAAAATAGAGCCAATAATAAATTCTAAAAAATAAGAATAAAGTGGAAATCATTGGCAATATATCATATTTTAAAAATTAAACCAAAAAAATCTATATAAAATAAATTTGATATATATCCCTCTACCCATCAAAATATGATATCCCCGTGAGTGAAAAAAAAATATAATTACAAAATAGAAAAAATAATCCTATAAGAAATAATTTATAATATCTACCTTTAATCAACATGCACCAATTTCATTTCTTATAATCAACACGTGCTAGCAAAATAGGGGTTAACATGAATAGTTTACTAGTTAAATAAAATATTGATAAATGTCTATACAAAAATAAATGTATTATGGATTCAAATCCATTATCTCATTATAAACAATAATTTATGAAATATTTAGAAAAAAAAAAGTTATTGTAGTAACCATGAATTAGTGATATTAAATATAAGTTTAACTATTATAAATATTATTCTCTATCAAGTATTAAATGCCAACATTAAATTTTTTTATTAAAGGCAAATATTATAAATTTCAATAATAAAATTATCTTGCTACACGATTATTGTACCACAACACGATAATAAAGATAAATTATACATTATAAAATATAATGCCAAATTCTCTTATAGCCCTTATACCTCCTAAGCATTTTGTATGCATGTCATTAGGTCTATATGCCTCTCTATTTTTATACTCATTCATTAAAATATGCATTCAAGGAGCACAACATAGTTCTTTTTCATTCAAACCTCTATAGCTCTTGTCAAGTACACAGATCACTCAGGCCAATATGCCTTCTTACATGAACATACACAATTCATAGTTAACTTATCATCAAACTAAATTTTTCTTGAATGAATTTTTTTTTTCAAAACAAATAAAATCATCAGTATATTTAATAAATATGGCTATTTTATATTGTGCCACACTAATGCCTAAATTTTCATATATAATTATAAATAATTAATGTACTAAACTCAATATTAATATTATGCCTATGCTTAACAAATATCTAAAGCACCACATCATATGAATGCCTAGTGAAAATTTGATATGATCATATCAATATCTGCATAATAAATAGAGTATAAAAAATCATTAAGTTAATACTATCAAAACATTAATATGCTTTAATTTTTCCAACATATATATATATATATATATATACATACTCTCTCTCTCTTTCTCTCCCACTCTCTCTAAGGTATAATGGATGTGGAATGAAAATGATGTCAAAATTAACATTTTTAATATATGTAGAAATATAAAACGCAACGCATCCTCGTAATTTTATAAACATTTTTACTTTTAAATACAAACTTCATATTGATCCTCCAAATCTAAGCACCAAATTATTAAAAAAAAAAAAAAAAGTAGTTATAGAGTTATAAATCATATCTAAAACTTTTCAATGAAAAAAGTTTATAATATACAACTAGATAGTTCCAAAATTCCACTTATACTTACACCTACTAACTAATTAAATAATTCAAGTTGATTAATTAAGCTACTATTTTCATAACTATATTGCCCATTAAATTAATAATAAAGAAAAGATGCTATATAATTTGATGATGATAGCCTAAAAATTAGACTTAAATGATTCCGAAAATTTTGGTTGAACAGCATAGGTAAAATTTAATCTAATAGTAATCTAGGAGAATCACATAATTGGTCTTAGAAATAATTTTTATATAATCATCCAATGACCAAAAACAATCTGTAAAAACACTTTAATAACTATCTAAAATTAATACTTTAACCAAAAAATACATAAATATTAATAAAGCAAACAAGCATGTGAAGCTATTATTTTAGTAAATAGAATTGTACCTATGGTCAATTTAAGATTATATGTGGTGAATCATCTGTTCTTGCTCCTGCCAAAATTGTTGGAACTGCCTAAACAATGTTTATTTATTGGGCTGAAATTTTTTGTTTTAGTCTTTCATGCTCCTTCCACTAGCCCATTTAGGATGAACTCCATCAAGTCTCATGCCTTAACTGAGCTCTTAATAAAAATTTTTAGGTGTCACTAGGCATTTGAGTGATAGTTGCAGTCCTATCTAAAGTTATAATATTTAGAGGTATCCACGCTAGAATATTCATGATTAATGGTTTGAGTCATCTAAAAGAATCATTCTTGAATTGCTTCGACAACTTCAGCTATTCAATCTCTCCCTTTTTATTATATCTTTTTCTTTTTTTCTTTTTTTTAATTTTAGAGACAATATCTCCATTGACTTTGGGTTTTCAAAACAACCTCAATGTGACAATATTTATAATTTGCCAAGTTGAAATTGAAGCAACAAATGGATTATCGCATTCAACATTAAGATGATTTAGTAACTTCACAAAGTTTTCAGCTTTTCTTATCAGAGTGCTTATTTAAGTGGTCCCCTTAAACCTTTAATAAGCAATACTTGTGGCATAGCCAACGCTAAATCTCTTCCACTTTCCCTAAATGAAATCTTACAATAAAACTTCTTAAGAACTTACCATAGTCCAGCCTATCTTAAGCAAGGCTTGAAAATTCTTTAGAATAATTTCAAAACATAGACACTAGGAAAATAAGTTTCTCTTGAATTCAACGAATGAGGTAATACATTTAAGCAAGTGCCAAAAACACTACTAAAATAGCAGTTCCTAGTAAATCATATTCATCTAAGCATATCATTGATGTTTCGTAACCTTCAGGCTCAGAATAAGTAATGTGTATAAAAATTTGAACTTAACTAAGGTTGTGCCTCAGCGATTTATCTTAAACATACATTTGTCAATTGACTAATAATTCTAGACCCTTCATGGTGGGGTGGCATCAATGCTATTCTTTGGGTAATGGGTCTTGCTAGATTTGGAAGTAGAAGTTAGCACAAATACAAACTTGGTTGTTACTAACAAAATAGAGAATTTGAAGGTCCATCATCACGAATCTTCAATTGTAGAGTCGTTCTAGGAACGCTCTTTAAGCCTCTTTGGATCATTCAAGCGAGTCTAGCAAATTAAGATATCTATTGATGCCAAAGTTTTGGATATTTCATTTTGCTTAATCTTTCTTATCATATTATTCCCCAGCTTTTAACTCTCAAATGCTTAATTTATAATTCTTAACTTTTGTTTGCACCCACAATACATGAAAAAAGAAATTTTAATTCAAATTTATTGGTAAGGAAAAAATTTATATTCACGAGTGGCTAAACAACAAAATGGAAGAATGAGAAAAAATAAAGTAGAGAGAGCTCTGAAATTCAATTTTTCGCCCCCAAAGAATAACTTGTGATGGCGATCTAATGTTGAGGCAAAATACCATAAGAATGATTACATTTAATGCAAATAAAAGCATTAAAAAACTTAATGAAAGCACAATATTCATGTCATTCCCAGGAAATAAATGGGACAATTTTGGAAATGTTTACGCGTAAATTACGATAGACTAAATAGAAATCACTAATCACCTCTTGCCACAGAGCCTGCATTTTTGGTTTCTCTCAAACATATGCTTGGAGCTCAGGAAGGTTCAATGCTTTCGTGAACTGAGGAAAATTTAAAACCAAACCATTCAAGATAATTACAAAAGAAGCCCAAAAGGAGAGAGCAGACCAAGAGAGAACAAGACCTGGGATATCTTTAAATCAACTTCTTCCCATTCTAATGACGGAATGGTTCCTCTTACTATCCCAGCACCAGCATAAACTAATGTGTTCAAGTCCTAACATTAAGATGGGTAGGTAAGAAATCAAAGCTTATTAGCATAAAGAAAAGTGAGTTCTCGATATTAACGTGCGTTTATACTTTCAATTTAAGCTGCTAAATATGTATTCAGAGGAATAATCAAAAGCAGATAAGTTCAAATATTGTTACTAGAACTCAAGCTTATAATGTCACTACAAAACATTTTTTTGACATCTGCAGGGCTAGTAAATAACATGTTATAGTAATGCAGAACCGGAGCAAGGTGTACATACAGTGATTCTAAGTTGTATTGTAAAAAAGAAACATAAAAGCTTATATTACCTGTCCAACAAGAGCTGATCTGATGCCAACTGCAAACTCAGTTTCACTTCCTCCAAACCAGCCAACGGGCCCAGCATACATTCCACGATCAAACTTCTCTAAGAAAACCAAATAAATTTAATCATTATCATTTTATGAAAAATGGTGTTCTGTTAAGCACAATAACTTAGAAAGGCAGTGTTTCAATATAACTAGGTGTTGAAGGCTCGGATCCATAGTTATGATTTACTGACATTTTGCAATAGTAAAGCATGTTAAGTCCAACTTGGTTCAAAATACCAACAACATGCTTGACGTGTTAGATTTGCCATCCATGAACTTGTTTTTAAGAAAATTGGGACACTGTGACTGAGTGTCCAACGTGTGCATATTAACCAAACTAAAAAAAATAAACTGTTAAACCCCAACCTCAAAAGAAACCATAGTCCCTAAAACTTATTTTAATTCTCATTCTAAGTGTGTTTTCGAGTCCCTCGTAGAGTCTTTGTCCCAACGTATTCTTCCATTCTGCTAGCATGTGTGATTTACAATGTTGAAATTTGGAATTCATTTGAAACAACCTATGTAAGTATTCTAAATTTATTAGTAATAAATATGTGGCAGGTCTGTTTCGTATTTCCCACTGTGGGATAAAGGCTTATTGTAGGTCTATTTCGTATTGCATGTGCCCAAATTCAAAAATAATTCATTAACAGGCATTTCAACTTAAAAAAAGATAGTATTGCCAGAAAAAAAATTAGTCAAATGCATGTTTGGTTAATGAAACTGACATGTCAAATGTAACCTAAGGCATTCCTTATATTAAAAGTAATACAAGTTTTTATATATATTCATTTCTGATACAAGCAAACATGACAAGACAAACAACTGCAATTTCTATAGCATATTTGGATTTTTTTTTTCTTTGAATTAGCATTCAGACTCTCTTCGGATAACAAAAGATGGCAATTTATCCTACTACTAATTGGCGTTACTTCTTTATTGGGGTATAAAAGACTTTTATGTTGAAATTACTTGTAACATATGAGAAGGGCAGATTTGTTTTTCATGAATTTAGCAACATTAATAGCAGAATATGATGTTATCCCTATTACTTTTCATATGTAAAAACATATTATAAATGAAAGGAATTTTTTTATATATAATCTCTCTCTCTCTTTCTCGCTCGCTCTAGAGAGAGAGGGAGAGAGAGATAATGCAGGATAAATCCATGCCCATGCCTATATATATATATATATATTTTGATAATAGCAGTGTCTTCTCTATATCCCCTTATCAAAACACATGAAATTGCAGATAAATTTAGTGCACAAGTTCATCACTACAAGGTCTCGTGGGGTCTAAAATTTCTGTACAAAACCAGCAATTTAAAAAGTTTGGTGGAAAAATACAATGATCTGATTAAGAACTATTCATGAACATGGAATATAGAGAAAACACAGTTAACTTTCACGTACCATCTTCTTCTATAAAATGACGAGCCTCTTCTGATGGCATTCCACAAACTGCAGGACTTGGGTGCAAGGAATCTAGGATTTCAAACTGACAATTAAAATTTTTTTGTGAAGGTAAGAGCCAACACATGGAACAATACAAGGAAAGAAAACGCTACAAGGTTTAATAAGATAAACTTGCATGAAACTTTGCAAACTTTGGAGAACACTGCATGATATTTGATATCTATCTGGTAAAATGAAAAAAGATGGTAAAACCCAACACATTTTAGCTCCAAGGGTTAAAATTTCGGAGAATAAGATGGGTTGCGAAAACACATATTCGTAGAACAGAGAATAAGTTAGCTATTCTGCAATATGCATGTTAGAATTATTACTGATTATAATATTTGAGTAGTTATGGCTTTCTTCGGAAAAAGTCTAAATGTTTACGAGTGTTATTTGTACTGTAATAATCAAACCTCATCATATTCCCTCCTTAACTTGCCAAATAATTCAGTACATATATGCTGTACTCTGGGAAGTCTTCGTAGTCGTTTAATCGGGTCAGCAACTACTTCATCGCAGATGGTCTGCACCAGAGTTATTGAATTAATTCTGAAGTAACATATGGAAACAAAAGGGAAATTACATATTCAAACAGATCAATATCAATAGCGAAGTTTACTACAAATGTGAGTATTTACTTGCCTCCAGTTTTCGTCTAATGCTCTCCCGCACTACGGCAAATTCAAAATCCTCCTTGGGACTGCAGAAGAAAATATATATAGTACCATAATTTTCAAATGAGAAAAGTCACCTGAAACAGTAAGCATATTATTTCTGTATTGCTGCTCGAGTTAATTCAAATTTGACTGATACAACATCTTAATTATCTGAATATCACATTTACCTGGAGAATTACATAGAGGTTGGTTTAAAAATTGCAGATACTGGAGCCTTCAGTTACAATATTATAGAAATAGCCTACATTGTTTGGCAAGGTAGTTAGGTCTTCTCATGGTTAAGGGGTTAGGCTTGTCAAGCCATGCCAAACTGGGTGAGCCTGAGATGTATTATTTGTGCAAGCAGGGGGCGGAAAAGCTGCAAATTCAAGAGCGTAATATTTGGGGCATGTGGTGTGTGCTACCGCCAAAAAGCTCGAAAAGTGGTTGCAAAAGAAAATTTTATGTAAGGCCAAAGAGACCAGAATGTGGACACTAAGTTGTATTATAAAAAAAAAAAAAGCGAGGCTGGTTATCCTCATTACCAGACAAATAGAATAAAGCAAATCATATTATCTCTACAATACAACGCCTCTTCCGCTGACCCATAAAAACAAGAGATGATTTTTGGTTAAAAAGCAAAGCAAAATGCCTTCCCCAACCTTTCTTCACTATTTTGAGATACTCAAGGAAATCAAATTACCAAAAACAATGATCTGGTCCCAAAAAATGAAAAAAGTACAAGTGAAATTTGGAGCTGCGCTGCAAAAGATAGAGACTTGAGCACTACGACAACTTGCTAAATATATAGCACACACTAAGACTTGAACCCTAAGACAACACAATATGTAAACTAAAGCACGTTAGCTATCATAATATTTCAAATTAATCTGGTAAAAGGACTTTATACAAAGCAGTGCACTAGGAATGATATTTGATTAGTTGCTCCACACACAAAAGAAGAAACAAAGCGCAAGAAGGTCAAAGCGTCTACCATTAATGGTGTCTACCAGAAAACTAAAATAAAAATTTTTGACATATTCCTATAAATAAGCAATTTTATGTTTTTTCCAATAAGGAAAATAGGCATCCACCGTATATAGGGTCAGTTTTGCAAGATGAAATTTAATGCTTACAAAGTTATTGAACACTAGTTTAGAGAGCAATGTATTGAGCACTAAGACAACTTACTGAATATATTGCACAGCGCATTTGGTACTAGACAGGCATACATTTAGATGAAAGCAAAGGAAAATTGGTTTTTCCTCAAGCATCAAAAATAGAAGTACCTGTAAAGTAAATCCTGCCCAATTTGGAAATCTTCAATTTCTGTTACACCCCTGGCTCGCGTCCCAGCCAAAGCTTCACTTGATATATTTAGGAATTTTCGGTGAAACAATTGTTCTGGCTATTCAGAAGGTTTGTATGAATGAAAGAACATATTTAGGTCATATATTTAGGTCATAATGTAAAAGAACAAAAAAATATATCAAAATAGCATGCATCATCATTGGACCTCCATCAAGCAACATGCACAAATTTATCTATACCAAGATTTCAACAGCCATTTTAAAAGTTAAAAGTGTAATTCTTCTAACATAATATCAAAGCTATTTCATGACAAGAAAATAGTAATGACATTGAGGTTCTTGAAGTTTAAGGTATGCACTAGACAAAAACCGAGCCTGCCAAATAATCTAAAGACTATGTTATGAGCAATACTAAAAGAGCAACTTAGTTAGTCATTTGTTAGTTATTATAGTGGAGTATAAGTAGGACTAATATATTTAGATTTGTGATATGTGTAATTGTTATCTTGAATCTTAGGGTTAGAGTTGGAAGAGATTTCCTACCTCTTGAATTATATGTTTTTTTATCTTAAGGTTTAGGAGAGATTGTCTGCCCTCAAATTTCAGGTGCTTATCTTTTATGTATTTGAGTTGTGTTTGGTGTTATTGGAGTAAAATTTTTGTGTGTCCTAATTTATGTGAAAACTCATCTTGTTAGTATCAATTTGGTATAATAGCATTTTATTATGACAAACAAACGACGGGACTATGATAACTGGGAAGCTGACAGGTGTACAACGTCCCTGTCGTGATTCATGCTAGCTAGGAGTAGATAGGATCACAGTTTTACATAACTAGGAAGCCAACGGCGGGATCGCAGGGATCGCAGCAAGAATATAGTAGTGATACAATCACGATTGAGTACTGGAAGAAAAGTTCGGGATTGTGACAAGTACTGGGAAGCCAACAACAGAAGTATGGCATGCCCAAGATACACAGTCACGATTCAATTTCTCTGAGAAGCACCGCAGTGTGACCTAGTAGCACAGTCACGCTAAGAGCCAGCCGAGATATCAACCAACAGGATTGCAATGTTCATAACTCTGCTTTCATGATTGAAAATCTTTTTAGAAGTAACAGCAGCCAAAAAAAAAGACGCTCGGGAAGAGAAAGTAAAGGAAGAGGTAAGTCAAATTAGATCATAAATGAAAGAACATTTCTTAGCAATAGAGAGCAGATTCTCTCCCATGGAACAGAGATTCACAGTCATGGAAGAAATGATGAATAGTGTTGGGGAGCTTCAAGCAAACCAACCGCCACCTCCCACAGGATCGAGCAACGACATCTGGAGTGGATGTGAGCGGTAGCACTCAGAAGGACTCCCGCAGCATCAAGGCAATGTCATTGCCTTAGACAAATCAGGGGCAGTGGAATTGAGTAAAGGAATCAGGAGCGGACACAAGCATGGAATAATCTTGAGAGCAGGGGTTTCTCTCATGATTACACCAAGTTACAAAAAGGATGAGATCGCGAGATGGATCAGAGAAATGTTAGATCATATATCCTAGTATGTGTGCCTTCTCTAAGCCAATATTATTAGTGAAGAAGAATTGGATTACACACTTCTGTGTGGATTATCAGGCAATGAATAAGGAAGTAGTACAGTTGTCATCAATTTATGATGTCACGTGTGCAGGATGTCCACTTAAATTTTGTGGGAACTTATTTCTTTCATACGTCAGAGTTGTCAATGTGTGTTTAGGGCACGAAACATACGTTTAAACTGGCACAACCGTGTCAAAGACTGACAGACTCATTAGCATCAATTATTGATATTGCACATGTTTAATATATTTTTGAATGTTATGGAACTATATTTCATTCATACATAGCTTCTCATAGCTCAATACATTGATAAAAGCTCTTCGGCGTGCGTTTAGGGAACGAAGCTAGTGATTGCGTTGGTGCGGCCGTGCCCAAAAGTGGTTATCTTTTATTGACATCAATTTTTATGCCACATTTTTTTTATGTCTAATTAAATGTTACGGGACTATATTCCACTAATTTATAGCTTGCCATAGTTCAAAGAATGCAAAAAACAATTTTACAAACCTAAATTTCCAAAATCAATGTTTGGTCAGACGCCCCCGCGACAGAATTGGGCACACCCACGCCTATCTAGATTCCCTGAGAGCCCCCGCGCTAGGCCCAGGCGTCCCCGCACCAAAGAATGGCGCCCAAGCTCCCGGGAACAAAGAATGTGGCACCCAAACGACAGTTTTAGGCGCCCGCGTGCCCGGAAGCTGACATGCTTCAATTTTTTTGACTTTTTTTAATAAAATCAAACCACATTAGGCAAAAATAGATCATGGGAAAATGAGCTTTGCTGCTGAAAAACCCCCCCCCCCCCCCCGCCTAATTTTTTTCCTATTTTGATGATTTCAGCACTTCATGAACCAAAGAGCAGAGATTGGAGGACTTGCAAAATCATTCTAGGAGAGCTTGGAGATTTTTTTGGAGAGAAAGGAAGAGCTATCTTCTTCCACTTCATTATTTCTTGAGGTGAGAGCAAGAGAGAGTTTTTTGAGTTTCTTTGGAGGAGAAACATCATCCCCCTTGCACAAAGAGAACTCTTCAACAAACATCACGGTTGTAAGAATTTATACCTTTATTCTTCATTGGCTTAGAAAAGCCTTTCAAGGATGATGTTAGAGTTATAGGAATATTGATGTTAGAGACGCCCCCATAAGTTAAAGAGCTTTTCTTGCTTGTTCTCCCAAAATTCTCCAGTAATTTTTCCAAAACCCTCTCACTTGACCCATATATTCAACATTGTAGTAACCTTGTATTTGTCGTGATGGTTCCATCATTTTGATGGAATGATAGAACCTTAGAGAATACAAAGAATGAAAGAACCTCTTTGATCTTTCATTCTCTAGGTCATGAGAGTTTTTCTCTATGAAAAAATCTCTTGTACTTAATTCATACAAATGAAGGCGGACATAATAGTTCCAAGAGATGTGTTGGTACACCTCACCTTCACCAAAACTCAATCCCATGAGGTCCTTTAGGTGGCTTAGCTTGCCATCAAATAGGTTTAAGGGTTTCATTTTTTTACATGTGCACTTTTCTCATGAGCATGCACGATTTCGAATGATTGCATAAAATGTGTTTTATATTTTGCTTGTAATTTAATACTAAGCATGTGCAAAAATATATTTATGTGTTTTTCTTGATTTTTAAACTTAGCATGTATGTAAAAAAGTTTTTTGTAGAATGCTCATGATTTAAAATCAAGCATATGTGAAAAATTTATTTTGAAGCATGTTTGCAATGTATATGTGAAACTTTTATTTTGCATCTTGCATTTGATTTCACATTAATTTATGTAAAAATGCATTTCTTTTACGTTGTGCATTTTACATTTTCATGGCTAATGCCTCAACATGAGTATATGTCTCCATATGCTTATTTTGGATAGTACACTTGTGCTTGCACTTGCACTTACATTTTTATTGTGCATAAATGAACAAATGTCCCCATATGCTCATATTGGATACTTGTGCCTCACTTGTGCACAATATCTTGTGCACTTTCATTTGCATATCCTTGTTTGTCATTGTGCATAACACTGTGTAGTTGGATTTGCATGCTTGAGGTCTTTGCATGAGCGCATGTCCCCATATACTTATATTAGACATTGGATAACGTGAGGGGGTGGTAAGCCCACAGGGCCCTACTAAAGCATGACTCCACCTAGCAACAGTTATACCACCTAACACATATGGCGTCACCTAGAATTATCATAGTCATATCATGTCATATCATCTAGTACAAGTCCTGTCACTTAGCACATGACTTCATCATGACACTTCATATAGCAAGCGACTTCACCTAATATGGGTCATGCCACCTAGCACATGACTCCATTTAGTGTATTATGTCACTCCACCAAGTGTATGACATCATTTAGCATGAGTCATATCATATAGCATGGATGGCATCACCTAATAGTCATAGGTATATAATGGTATGTGGGCACAATCATACCACCTAGAATGATCGTGTTGTTTTGCTTTTGCTTGCTTTCAAATATGATCATGTCATCTTGTGTGTTCATCCTTAGCAAAGAAATCACATATATTTTTGTCTTTTGATGTAAGTACTCCCACCTATGATAGTATTTACATCTAAGATATCACCTTGTGCTTTTTATGATCGCTTACACCTAGCTTAAGCGATCATATCACGCATAAACACCATTCAAATTGCATCGTTCTCGGAAGTAGCTCCAGGAGAGTCCGCACCTTGATGGTAAATTAACCCTTTTAGATGTGTTTCAAAATGTTAATTGCAATGCTTTAATGAGCATTGCTCGCGGGTATAACCGCGTGAACAATGTGGATTATCGCATTGCGATTAGCACGTATATATTCGTGCTAAAGTTCCAAGAGGTTTGCCATGTGCCATGCAGGCTTGATTTTCACTTAGGACGTATTTTAAAATATAAAAAATATATATTTTTTTTCATATTATTACCCAACATGTTTTAAAACATATATTGAAATCAAGTATCTCATTTTAGATGCTTACCAGAATAAGGTAGGGCATAGTTAATTTTTTCATATGCTTAGTTATTTTCATATTTCGCACCTAGCCAAGCATTTTGTAGTACTATTTTATGTGTTTACTGGGTGTGAGATATGTGCACTAGTATATTAGGGTAGTCATGTCCAAATGGGAGGAGCCTCATAATTTAAAATTAATATCTTTTCTGCAGGCATTGTTTAGCTCTCCTCACGCCGAATAATTCATTATACGTTGCATGTAAATAAACTTTGCTAATATTTTTTATACATGAGTCTTCTTTTTAAATTTTTATATGCATTTTGTTTATAGTTCATTAGTTTGAGTATGTATCGGAAATAAGGTACGAGCATAAGCTCCAAGATATTTGATGTGTGGAGTCATGTGATAAAGACCAAGAGGAGTGCAACTGTGACTCGTACTTTAATTCCAAGTTAATATTGTTGTATAGATGTTAGGATCAGGCATGTATATGCAGAACCTGACAAACCTTTTTAACTTTATGGGATATGTTAACGACTCAGCGGTATCC